ATACACACACACAGAGAGAGAGAGCGAGAGAGAGAGAGAGAGAGAGAGAGAGAGAGAGAGAGAGAGAGAGAGAGAGAGAGAGAGAGAGGAGAGAGAGAGAGGAGAGAGAGAGGAGAGCACCCCCATCCCTTTTAGCCTTTTCTCTGCCCTTAAACACCCTTGTAAGTAATATTAGAATTGGCTCCATATCCTTTTGTCTCCTAGTCTATAGAATGCTCGAGGAAATTCCCGAGTCATTTGTTGAATGAGTGGTGCTAAATTCAGCACTTGAAGATCTCAATAGCATTCCAGTTAGGACATTTTTTATCCATCCATCAGCAGAGCTCACCTCCCAGATTCCTGTCTAATTAGATTGCAAGTTTGGAGAAGGGAGACAAAGGAAAGGACAGATCTGGGAGAAGTAGAGCACAAAGGCCCTTTTCTTAAAGTGTGTCATGACTTAGCACCACTGCTTTATTATCTCCGCCCCCCCATCTTTATTTCCCTGAACTCAACATATTCTAGAGAAGGTAGAGTGCAGATGTGTTTTTGTTACTCAAAGCCATATGAAACCCAAAATGAGTCTTTCTCCTGTCATAATTCTAAGTAGGGCCTTAGGCTGTGTTTACTGCCTCTAAAATAAGCCTGGTGCTTAGCTTCTCAGTTGCAACACTTTCCAGCTTTTCTTGAAAGAAATAAACAAAAATAAAATGTTATTTTAAAGTACTGTCAGAAATTAAATAAATCACCCTCAATTGTACTGTGTGTGTATGTAAATATATCTATTTAAATTGGAGGAACTCCTTAGTACAATGTCTGCAGCAATCAGCACCACCCTACAATATTAATGTAGCTCGTTTACTATTAAATATTCAATGAGCAGAAAAAAAACAACACCCGCCTTATAAAACTGCCTAGTACCTAAGTTCTGTATCCACAATTGGTTATTATTTCTAATTCAATTTTATTGAGGTATAATTTGGGGGATCAGCTTAAAATGTAATGAAATCAACTCTTTATAACACACTCAGTTATATAATCATTAAGTTATAGGACACCGTTAAGTTATAGGACATGTCTGTCATCCTTAACTTGTCCCTCATGCCCTCTGTAGTCAGTCTTTTCCTAGGACCTGTAATCACTGACTGGTTTCTGATCCCATACTTGGTTTTTTGCTGAACATTGTTTATATAGAATGTCACAATCTTCTAGTACAGGACTTCTGAGTCCGGCTTCTTCTTTTTTTTTTTTTTTTGAGACAGGGTTTCTCTATGTAGCCCTGGCCATCCTGGAACTCACTCTGTAAACCAGGCTGGCCTCCAACTTAGAGATCTGTCTGCTTCTGTCTTCCAAATGCTGAGTGTAAATGGTGTCGTTCTTCCTCCCCCACCCCCAAGTCTGGCTTCTTTTGCTTAGCACTGAGTTTGATTGGTTTGTCTGTGTGGGGCAAGCAAGTCAGCATTTTCAAGCCTGTAGGTCACGGAGTTGTGTGATGACCATTCTGCATTCCAGTCATGGGCGCTCCTGGGTGAATTGATTAGCTGTGCCTGTTTCTCAGACTTATTTAATTTGCAGAGCATTGACTTAGCAGAATGTATTTAAGGTTCATGTATTCTTTTCATCACTAGTTCTTTGTGAAGTCACTGATTACCCTCCATTTGCAGAGGTATACAGCAATTCAGACACTGGCCAGGTGTGGTGGTTAATCTCAGTTGTCAAGTAGATGAGATTTTGCATCCCTCAGCCACGGTCTCTATGCATGCCAATGGGAGATTATCTTGATTAGGTTAACAGAGCTGGAAAGATCTGAGCACAGGCATTCATCACTCAGCTTTCTGAGGTGGCATGCTATTGTGTTGGCTACTTCAAGCTCTTGCCCCTTAGGCTTCCTGACATGATAGATCGTACCTTCAAATTGTGGGCCAAAATCAACCCCTTCTTTATGTCAGAGTATTTTATCACAGCAACTGGAAAAGTATCTAAGACACCAGGCAAAGGACTTTGAGGTTCCATACTTTCTCACCCCCATCCCCGCTTGCTTTGGCACAGTTACAAATAAAGTCAATGAGAATCTTTGCTAACTGGTTTCAATGTGGACACAGGATGCTGATTGCTGGCAGGTAAAAAAATAAGTTTGGGGAGATAAAGCCATGAGAGTAATATTGAGACACACATAGGACATCCAACCGTAAGTGCTAATTAACCAGTTTGATATCTGGGATTTCCCAAATTAGAAATCATTGTGGCCTGAAGAGTATTGGATGATATGGAACATTTGAGATTCTCTAGAGAGTTCCTAGCCATCAGAGAAGAATGAACAGGACACACCTAGGAGGCATGTCACTCATTATGTATGGTTGGCCAATTGTATGGTATGGCTAGCCAAAGGAAGCCAAGAAAGAGGGGTACAAAAAGACAGGAGAAAAATAGGTAATTCAGAGGCTTTTGAATCTTTTAAGAATTTTTAGGATAAATGTTGGAAACGTAGGAGATGTTGGAAACATATATTCCATACTTGGAAATGTTGTTGTTGTTTTGGACAAGGTCTTGCCCTGTAGTCCAGGCTGGCCTTGAGCTGGTAATCCTCCCACTTCACTGCCTCCTGAGCACTGAGATCACAGGCATGTAACCACCACATAAAGATGAAGAGGTGTTTTTAATGTTAAGATAGAACAGGCTAAGACTATTCCCACAAAAGGTCAGGAGGCTGACGGGACGGTGTAGCCAATGGGAATGACTGATGCTCCTCACATCTCCCTCACCTGCTGAGAAGCCCTCTTTCAATCTTCATGGAAGTTTTTAGAATTAACAAGTTCTAATGAACTATACCATAACATGGTCTTTAAACTTATTTCTCAACTACTTCTAGAAAATTTACCAGGCAGAAAATGTCAGCAATTCTGTTGATGTGTGAAAATGCTCTGGCGGTTTAGTCACTTGTCAGTCCCATGTCCAAGTCTTTCCCATCTGTCATGGCACAGTTCTCCCTCCCTCCCCACAGTGGTCATAGTCTGCCCCCAACCCCCATTTTGGCATTTGCTTTTTCTACAAATGTGTTATGTATGTATATATTACCTCTCCGTGTGTTCTGTTTTTCCTCTCATTAGGTGAAGAAGACAAAGACCATAGCTAGAAGAGTCCAGTCCTTCACATAACATAGCAGTTTCTTTTATTTGGCTCGTTACATGAGGAAACAGTTATTAATACATGACTAGAAGGAGTCATATGCAGAATGGGATGGTTTTGAATTTGAGCACTTGCATTAATAATTTAAAAATGAGTGCACCATGTTGTAAGTATGGAGGTCAAAGGACAGTTTGTTGGAGTCTGCTCTCCCCTACTATGTCGGTCCTGGGGATCCCACTCAGCTTGTCAGACTTCCAAGACAGGGGTACAGAGACTCAAAAGCTAGGTCCTTGTGGCCCAAGACAGGGTTTCCCAATGTTCTCTAGACTTCTGGCTTTATTTTCATAGAAATCCAACTGCTTGATAATAGTTAATCCAGTCATAGGGAGTAGTTTGGTTTATCTGCATTTTCAAAAAAAAAAAAATCCCTTATCTCAAATGAGCAGAATAATATTGAGCAGTAACCACACCTGGATATGCTGGTGAACACTGTAAGCCCAGCCCTTAGGCCAGTCTGGGGCCAGTCATGAAGAATCACAAGCCATCTTGTAGATACATAGAAATACGCTGTCTGGAATACCGGGGAACTCCTCTTCTTGAGCAAGCTTGACCTTGGTCATTCTGAGCTTCGTAGGTGACTTAGAGCAGAGTGGGAAAGAGCCTTCACTGTGCTGATCCTGATGGAATAGAGGGAAATAGAAGTTGTTGTCTTTAGATAACAAAAGGAGCAATGTGGGTATTTCGGTAAATGAATCCACACGGTGGTGTGAGGAAAAAAAAAATCCAAATACCTATTTTTTCCATGTGTTTGAACTTTTCTTCTGGTTCTGGTTCTGGCTCTCTTTCTCTCTTTCTCTCTCCCTTTCCCTCTCCCTCCCTCTCTCTCTCTCTCTCTCTCTCTCTCTCTCTCTCTCTCTCTCTCTGTGTGTGTGTGTGTGTGTGTGTGTGTGTGTGTGTGTGTGTGTGTTGTGTGTTGTGTGTTGTGTGTGTATGAATCTTTTTTTTTTTTTTAAGAAGTCCCCAGGTAGCATAGGCTGGGTTTAAGACTCACTATGGACTATAGGATGGCCTCCTGACTTCGGTCTCCAAAGTGTTGGAATTGTAGATATGGATTAGCACAGTAGCCTAATCCTTTTTGCTTGTGGTTATCCTGGGTATGGATTGAAGAGTCTTACACATACGAGGAAAACTCTTGGCAAAAGAAAACACAAAGAAAGGAAAAGTATTTCTGGTTTGGGCTGATGATGAGTTTGTTATTAAAGAACCAAGAAATTTAGGACGATTATGCCTAGTTTGAGTCATATTATTATTATGTTTTTAAAAATCAAAATAATGTACTGTAAACATTGAAAATGTTTACCTTTATATTTGAATATTTTATGGGGAAGCCTCTTACTAAAGTCTTTGAAAAATATTCCCCTTAAGCATAGATTTATCTAAACAAGATACTAACTGCTGCTAAACAGACTTTTTGATTGCGCTGATTTAAACTGACAAGTCACAAAACCTAGAATATATTTTTGTCATGAGAACTGAACAAGAAATACATATTTTTTAAGAAGGTGCACAGTGGTTATAAAGTGCTATTTTCCCCTTTCACGTTATGTGTATACTTTTAAATCTTACCTTAATGGGTTGATGCTACTTCCTTCTGATTCCTCAAATTGGTTTAGGCAAAACATTTGGGAATTGCTACCTAGTGCTAGAAATAATTGAGATATTGAATTTGAAACCAGGTGTTCTGTGGGTAAGTAGCTGAGACCTGTTACTGCATGTGGACTATGCACTAGCTCTGGTTGCCTTCATCTCCATTATGAATTTCTTGATAGTATACTGTACGCTTTGCTAAGTTAGCATTCCAGATGTGTGAATAGAACCTGTCCACTTTCCCTCAGGTGAACCTGGCTTATGTGCAAGCAGCGGAGTGCCTCACAGAGCCTGTGAACAGGGAGCCTCCTTCCAGAGAAGCTCAGCTCTTGACCTTGCAGAACACATCGGAATTTGACATCCTTGTCATTGGAGGAGGAGCCACAGGAAGCGGCTGTGCGCTAGACGCTGTCACCAGAGGTGAGTCGTCCTCATTGGAAATGAAGACAGTGTTCATTCATGAGCTCACATTTCTCTTGGTGTTCCCCGATTTTCCATCCTTTGTGAAAACTCTTGCATTTTCGAAATCTAGGCACTCTCGACAGTTTAAAATTAAATATAACTGGAAATACATATTTTAATTCAGCAGATTTATTTGAAAATAAAACTCTATATTTTATTTTCATTCATGTAAACCTGGTCACATAAGTATTTTTCTGTTTATTCTGAGTCATGGTAAATTTAAAATATAGACATACTAGAGTCTATTCTTTTACCACATTGACACCAGTTTTCATCACATTTCATGTCTCCAATCATGGTGTATAATTTGAGCTAAAGTATACTCAAACATGCTAAAGCAGGTGGGAAGAACAGTTCCCAGTTATCACAGGGCAGCTTGCGCTTTGCTTTCTGGGCAGCCTGGGAGGGAGAGTGGAAAGGGCATATATTTCTTACAGGATGTTGTGTTAGACCCCTGGAAAACTCAGGCCTCCGAGGTCCCAGCCCAGCACCGTGGTCACCCCAATCACCAGGCAGATTCGAAAACTTGCTGCAAACTGCATGAGGCTTTATTGTTAACGAGCCAACCTTATGTTAGCTGAGGTCTTTCACTCACCCGCCATGGCGGATGGCTAAAAAAGACAGTTCGAACTGGCTGCAGAGAGATCCTGTAGGGCAGCGTAAGGGGATTGTCTAGGGAGCACAGGTTCACAATTGGTGTGCCTCCAGTCTTGGAGGGCTTGCCCTGTGTTGATTGGCCAACTGGTTGTTATGGCCCACAGGCCATCCCAGGGTGGTTGCTATGCTCTGCGGTCATTGCTGTGCACTTGTCTGTAAAGCACACCCAGAGCCGTAAAGCATAGCGCCGCCAGCTAACTTCTGATAACCAATGCCTTGCCACGAGGCAGGCATCTGCTTTCTAATGACTAGGACAAGGTTATGGCAAGCACGTGTTACTGTCATGGCTGCCGAAATGGGGAGCTGGTCCCTTCAGTTGTGCTTGGAACTGCTCTACTCGAAAGAATTTATTTCTTCTAGGTGATAATTTTCTGTGCCAAAGAGAATCCTTTCTAGAAGGAGACAGTCAGGAAACTTATTTTCCCTCCTGTCGCCAGTATTTTCTTGATTTATATAAAAAAGTTTAATCATTTTAATTTCAATTTTGCAAGTGTTTGGGGGTACTAACTGCATGTGTAGTAGTCTACCAGGTACTACAAGAGAATACAAAGATTATCTTATGGTTCGTACCTTTAGGGAGCTTTTGTGTATAGCTCACGTTATAGAGAACATGTACCTTTCAGTGTGTTCAGAGGTATTATAGACATAGGTATTGCATACATACATTCTGTCCCGCTCCTCCAGCTGCCCCTCCCTTCCTTCCTTCTCTCTATCTCTCCCTCTACTTATCTACTGCCTCTCCCCCATGGATACAAGAGAGAGTTTCTTATTGACAGAGAGTGATCGGAGGCTGAAAAGCTACTGGCATGTGCAACAGTCTAATAGGCAACTATTACTTACTGAGAAAGACCTGAACTAAAGAAATATACTGGCAGAGTTGCATGGAGCACGTGGGGACAGCAGGTGCTTTAACTTGGAGCATGGAGGCCAGCAAGGAAGATTAGGAGGAAAGAGTTGAGACACAGGTGGTGTGCCAGGTGAAGGCCTTGACTTTTCTGAGCAGGCCTCCTGAGATGCTGGAGATGAAGAAGGCTCAGAGATGTCCACAGACTTTCCAGAGACATTGAGACAACTGTCATGCTGAAGTGGGGTTGAGAAGAAGGCCATTTGTTGAAAGAAGAGGGAGAGAAGGGGGGAGGGAGAGGGAGAGAAGGGGGGAGGGAGAGGAAGGAGTCGGGGGAGAGAGAACATGAATGTATATGTGCATACCTAGTATTGCTGAGAAGCAGAGAAAGTAGAACCCAGACAGAGAAAGTAGGTTAGAATCTAGAATTGGAAATTGTCTAGTTATCAATAATAAACGGGGAAAGTGAGAAAGAATTTACAGAAGCAAGCAGAGGAAACTGTTTAAAGACAGGTCTAGAGCTGAAGAAGGCAAGGTGGCAGGTAGGAGGAGCTTGAGAGTCAGGGTGGTGGGAGGCTCGTAAGGGAGTCAGAATGAAACAGTCACCACAGGCATATTCTTTTCTCCTTTTGAAAAGTGTCACCCTTGTTCTCTTTTGTGTACTTCCTCTATTTCTGTTTAAAAATTTAGACGAGATCAATTGGAGTTACCCTCCTATAGTGTGTTTCTCTCAATAACAGGGTATTTAGTAGGTTTTCATGTATGCCATGTTCATTGTTGTCAATGGAAAGTGCTGTTTTATGTATTTTTACTAACTGAATGAAGTTCTTTTTGCTGCTTTTTTGTGTGTTGTCTGTATGTATGTATGTACATTTGTGTATGTTTTTTATGTGTGTTGTATGTATGTACATTTGTGTGTGGTCTTTTTGAGTGGACAGAAGGACAGAGGTTGATGGATGTCTTTCTCAGTCACTTTCCACATACTTGTTTGTGAGACATGAGCTGGCTTAGTCACCCAGCCTGGCCCCAAACTTTAGATGCTCCTGACTTAGCCTCCCAAATGCTTGGATTTCAGGCATGTGACAGCATGCCTGGCTATTTTTGTGTTTTTGTGTGTGTGCTGGATGCTAAACCTGGTGCCTCAGGCCTGTCAAGTACAAACTACTGAACTGCACCTCCAGCCTCATTTGTTTTCTTTCTTATTTAAAACACTACCATTATGAGTTAAGTACTGAACAAGTTCTGAGCATACAAGAGCTAGTAAGATATGAACTAATGCGTTTTTTTCCTTTGAGCAGTGAAGTAGGTATTCAGTAATGATCAGGGAATTGTGGGTAGTGATGGTGCATTGTGGGTAGTGGTAGTGATGATGATGATGATGATGACGATGACCATAAGGATGATGATAATTAGAGTTTCTATGAGAGTCTTATAATTAGTAACATCTAAGAAAATGATATACATTTAATATTTTGTGACACATTGATCGACACTTGGCTGTCTTTTCTAAGTTTATGATCTAGTGAAGGGATGGGCATAGTGTTTATAATTAAAACATATAAGGAGGTACTGAAGGTAGTTTGTATTTATCCTCTTACTGTGATTTCTGATTATATCAGTGGCCCTCTGAAGTGTGAAATAACCATGGGCCTTTGGTTAATGAATTGCGTGTTGTTGCTGTTCATTCATGGAATTTGCTCTTTTATTATATTTGATGCTTCACTTAACAACAAATTTTGCTTTCTCTGTGTTTGATATGTTTTTACCAAATTATTCCTGATTGTATCCATTAATCTTTAGTCACATTTGACAAAAATAAATTACTGTGATCTTTTAAAGTTACCATTAATAATTAGATTTTTCAGGGCATCAAAGTTTTGGGGGAACCACTAGATGTGAAAGGGCTTGTATAGAAATGTTTACACAAGCTTTTAGATAAAATCCTATGCCTGAATGTAATTTCAGTAATGGATAAACAAAGGCTATGGAGGAGGAGTTGTGGAATCTTTATAATGATCATTTATTTGCATCCTCATCATCTGCATTTTCTCAGGAATCAATTCTCATTTGTTTCATTTGGGAGTATTATTTCATAAACACAACTTGCACAGTTTGGCTCATGTTCTCCTGCAGGTCTGTGATCAATAGTAATGGCTTCACTGATCACCACATCTGTGGCTAGTTTCTTGGCTGAAGTACGGGGTCTCCAGACCCCACGGTGCAGGCTTTGCTCCTAAGGAAACAGAAATGAGATTTTAATTATTGTAATCTCTCCCTCAGGGCTGTTGAAGGTGTTTCCTTTACCTCTTTGTCTCTTTTTATGTGTCTTTACCTGTGTGTATCTGGGACCACTGGGGCAATTTTTTTTTTTTGGCTTAAAATCTAATTTGCAAAACTTTATGCTATTGTTTAAATTGCAGAGAAGACTCTATGGCTGGAGAAGTGTTTATGTAGTTGTCTTGTTTGAAAAAATGTATATTAGAGCTAGGGGTGGTGGGACATGACTGATGATGGAAGGATTAGGAGTTCAAGATTCTGAGACATGTTTCAAAAACCTGAATGCAAGGGGCTGGAGAGAAGGCAAGATGGCTCAGCAGTTAGGAACACTCACTGCTGTTTGAGAGGACCCTGGCTCTGTTCCCAGTATCAGAATGAGTTGTAGCATCAAAGGATCTGATGCCCTCTGTCCTTCATGGGCTCCTACACTTATCCGATGCATATAAACTCACAAAGGCATACACATAAAAATAATAAACTTTACAGAAGCCCTAAGAACCAAACAATGCGCAGATACTTTTGGTTGATAAGTGGTATGTAGCTGGCGACTCTTGAATCTCACCATGCTTCATTCAAGTCTGGGCTGTGCAGCATAGTAAGAACACAGATTATCTGTGTGGGATGAATTGGGTTCAAATTTTGGTCTCATTGCTTATTTATCTCTGACTTTCAATAAGTATCAGAGAATGCCCAGTTGTTCAGGGATAATTGGAGGGTAATAGTAACATTCTTTTCCTTAAGTAAGGGTTTATGTATTGTAGAAAAAAGAAATTGCAATAGAAAGAGCCTTGAATGAGCCTTGGCTCATTCTGGGGGCTATAGGGCAATATGCTTGAGTATTCTGCCACCCATTCCTGAGGGTGGGATGTGCAGTTAGCTTTTTGTCAACTTGTCATAACTAGAGTCACCTGAGAAGTGGGAACCTTAATTAAGAACTGGTTGCATCAAACTGGACAGGGCTTGTCTGTGGAGGGCTAAGCTCTCTGTGGGTGGTACCACCCCCTAGGCAGGTAGGTCTAGGCCAGTGGGTTGTGACTCCTATGGGTTTCACATATCACATGTCTTGCATATCAGATATTCACATTGTGATTCATAACAGCAGCAAAATTACAGTTGTGAAGTAGCAATGAAATAATTTTATGGTTGGGGTCCTCACAATATGAGGCACTGTATTAAAGAG